TGTGTGCATTTCTATGTGTGCATTGCTATGCATGCACTTCAGATGGGCTGATATTACTAGTAAAGAAGTTGCTACTGTAATTTAAGAAAATCTGCTCATTATGGAATTAAACTTGTAGAAATTCAAATAAGTTGTGGATTTTTAAAAATTATATTAACTGTACTTGTATATTTGTCTCTAAAACATGTCCTCATTGTAGGATGTGCTTTCTTAACAGTAATAAAAACACATGCTTGGATGTGTACCCATGCATCCGCATCATGGTTTCAGCTCTCTTGTGCCATGCCCAGCAACCTGGCTGGGAAAACTGCAACATCTTCCTTCCACCCATGGCAAATCTCCACCTGATACTCTTTACCTATATTTTTTATGCAAGCATAGGCACATAAATTGTCCCTACTGAAGTTTCTATGGCCATATAGATGGGAGGCTTTTGTATTTAAACTAAAATAGAATTTATTCCGAAAGACATGACACTTGGATGGTGAATTGTTGTTCAGCTGATGTGTATGATGTGTATCTGTGTCTTGTTTCCTCAATAATCAACTTCTCCCATCAGTGAGGTTATTATAAATAAACTACAGCACACCTCAGTTAAGTTTGAATGATACACTTCTTTTCATCTTATTATCTGTGAAGTTCTACTGGTGAAGTTATGGTTTGCAGTGAAGTGAATACCTACTGTTCTTAATTCTTGCTTCTGATCTACCTTAATGGGAAAAGAAGTTATCTTAAATGTCATTGCAAAGTATGTCCCTAAGGGAAGATGACTTGGCCTTAGTTGTAAAATCTGTATGTTAATAGGTCAGACGTCTTCTCCACCCTTTCACTATCCCAGTGTGGCTGGTATTTTCAATAGGACACATGTGGAGGACAATAAGACACAATTACTAAGAAATAAATAGCTGAAAATGGGATATTGATTTGAACTGCAGTCAAACATGATTTGATTTTCTATCTCTCATCTAATTTGGAATCATAATTTGTGGTGGACTCCTGAGTCTTTCCATATATAGATCTGCTTTCAAATCCTGACTTGCTTAAGGTTAACGTAATCTTAATGTAATAGTTTCGCCTTACAATCTACCAGTAGTTGTTTGCAGGTGTAAAGTCAGTGTATGAGGGTATCCTGGTCATTCAAAACTGTTGGAGCTCAAGATATTAAATTCAGATTGCATGTTAAATGGGTAAGCACAAGGATATTACCCCTCAGTTTTTTGAAGTTTTGAAAGATTGAGGTACACAGGAGTTGAGTGCCCATGTAGGTGCTTAATTTTGCCACTCAGAGCATCCAAAATTCGTTTAAATACATAGACTCTTTCAGTGTCCAACGTTGCTCAGAAACCTATTTAGCTGCTCAGATGTCGGATCTGGACATGCTAAATCAGTCTTTGATGACACAGGGTGGGTAGGTGTGCTGCCTTATGTCTGCTCTGTCAGAGTCTGCCAGAGGGGTGTTCCCTGCTGTGCTGAACACGCTTTGCTGGAGCCCACGCATGGAACGTGACGGCAGCATTGACCCACATCATTCGGCAGTGCAGCGGCTACACTGCTCTCTGGAGAGAGCTCAGGCATTCTTTAAACTGTTTTTTCTACAGTCTTTCCAGTAAGTTTAAGTTGGGCGATGAAACAGTATGTTCTGGGACAATTTTGGCCGTAATTGTGGCTCAGTTTTCCCGTTCCTTTTCCTTAAGGATAGCTTGAAATGCAGTGAAGTCATGTGCAATTGCCCTGGCACACTTTGACTAAACCTCTTTGTTACGCAGATTCCTGTTGCAGTCCTACAACTACAGTCTTTTGTTTTGGCAAGATGAAACTATGCCGAGCCACAAAACTGATCTTGGAAACAGAGAGTTTCTGGCATTTACGAGAGGTATTCCTGGATTTAGCATAAGATTGCATAGGTTTAGAGTGGGTTTGGAGAACATTTTATTATGTTTGTACATTGTTACTAGATTTTTCTCCATATAACTTATGACTAAATAAAAATCGATTTAAAAACAAACTCTGCAGCAATACTGTAGTTTACTTAGCATCTCTAAAAACACCTCACTGCTTTCTTGGTGCTACACTGTAAGTTTATGGACAAAATAGATCTTTTATAGTAAACTGTTCATGCAACTTCAGTAATAGCAAGAATTAAATTATTAATTTAGCTAAATGTCACTAGATCTTTTTACTGCCTTCTGTGCACCTAGATTCCTCTGAAAGCTTTTCTTCTTGGCTACACCACATTTTCCTATGTACACATCTCTTAGGATTTATCTAAAGCTTCCTTCCAGCACATTTATTTTAATAAATTAATTTAAATACAGGATTGTGTTTAATCTAGGTAAGATTTTACATCCAGTTTGAAGAAGTTTGCTCAAAGGAAAGGAACTAGGAACATTTTTCTGCACATTCCCCACATACACACACACACTCCACACACACACCCCACACACACACACCCCACCCCACCCCTTATTTTTGGATGGGGTACCATGTAAAAAGTTGAGGATGTTTTTAAAGTGGAAAAAAAAAAAAAAAAGATAAAAAAAAAAA